GTTTTTTGCAGATACAACCACTGCAATTACTTCACGTACAAATTTCGTTGTAATGCACATTCGAACACATGGTATATACTTCTATATTGAAGTATTGAGATTTAAAAGTACACAGATTGAACAAAGACCTTCGCTTGCACAGCACATAAATAAATATGAAATCAGCTTAAATTTGTAAAAATTTTTTCTTGGAAAATATTTGTCGGAAAATGTCACCACGCAGACTGCCAGTTTAACACGAAATCACGTTCAAATAATTTATTTATCGCTTTTATTTCTTAAAACAATTTCCATATTCCATATAAGTTTTAAATTCATTTTTCTCAATATTTTACAAAAATATTATTTTTTTTCAAGATCATTTTTCGAATTTCGTTTTGATATCAACAAAAAAAAAAAATTAAGACTTTAAAACCACATTATTAGATATTTAACAGACAAAAAAAAAATATTAATATATTTAACACCTACACACGCGGTTTTAAAGCTCAATTAAACCACACAAAGTGGTTATTCGTTTTTATTTTTTTTAATTTTTTTAAATAAATTTTTCAATCAAAACTTCAAAATTGAAGTCAGAACACACCTCGCACGACAATCTCGTTTTGAAAGCCAAACTCAACTGAAATGTATTTTAAATTTACAGTTTTGTATCTCACAACTTGCGCACCGGTTTGAGTTCGATTCATACTATATGAACTGGGTTTGAAGTTGCAACAATACGTTAAAAAAATACTCGTAAACAAAGATCACATGTTTAATAAATGGATTTTTAACTTCCAATTTAGTTAGTAATAAATACCATTTTTTTATTAAAATTTTATTTCTTACCACAATTAAAACAAATAGAACGGAGAGAATTGTTATCTTCTAACGAATTGAATATCACTTTTATTTTCATAGTAAATTTTTTTTTTTAATGATTATGGACTATTCAATTTAGTTCATTTATTAGTGCATAAAAGTCAAAGAATCGCTGACTTTTTTATTAACGCTTTTTATTATCACATTCAAGAAATTAGTCCATATTTATTGTTTAATAATTGTCTTTTCAGTTTTATATTAATCAGATTTCACTCTCATTGATTTTAAATTTAGCTGCTCATATCTTATTTGGACCATTAGCTGTCAATTTTAATATTTAATATAGTGAATCTTTATTATTTAAGCGATGTATACTTGTGTACTAAAATTGATCTCCAAACTGTCATCACTCATTTGGCAACATCTATGTATGTCAATTTTGTCAGCGATGCAATTTATTAGGTTAGGTTATACCGGAGATCCCTAGTGGATCCACTTAGATCTATTGGTCCACTATGAAATTATAAGATTTATTAGAACTCAGTGAAATTCAGATGAGATTTTCTGTATCATGTGATTTTCATAATGCGGTATTGATCAAATCCTCTTTTGTCTGGTTAAATAAGCGGTCACCTATTTCGTAGTCCTGATTTGATAGCAAATTTTCAGTGACAGTTGTGAACTATCGTCCAAGGTAACAAATATTTATTTTACGACGTACCATTTCGTTGCATACAGTATGGATGAAGCAATGTTTAGTACATACACTAATTGGGTACTTGAAATATATTGTACAGCTAATACAGTACAGCTAAATTTTTTGCTGGGTTTACATGTCAACAAACGAAATTTTACTAGTTAGGGTAGTGAGAAGCAATAAAGAACTATCAAAAGACTATTGCAATTAGTTATGTTATGGCAGAGCTATTGTCAAGTATGTGCCTAGAAGTTATCGCAAATTAACTTAAAAGGATCCAGCACTATTAAATGAAAATATACGTTTATATATGTAATGCTGCTTTTTTTATTAACCATTTTTATGCAATATTATTGTTTCTATTTAATTATTTTACTTTTTACGATTGACAAAATATAAAATTTTTTAATGTATTTATTTAATAATTTTATCTGTTTACCGAAAATAGATTATATACTGACTATAATCTATCTATAAAATAGAAAGAGTAGTGGCTAATGTTAATGTTCATGTGTACCATATTTGAGATAAAAACATCTAGTCCACTTGATGAGTTTATTTCTCGTATTGAGAGATTCAATGCACTGCTTACAATTGTAAACCTTTTACATATAGGTCAAGATAGTTACGATTATCTACTCGTATTTTATATTCGAAGCGTTAATAATGAAACTTATAGATACTAATCAAAATATTCATACTCATTTCTACTAAAAATTCATATTTATAGTAGAAACATTGTGGTAATAGTTCCCATTGTAGTTGAAATAATTTTGTAGATTCATTTTTTAACTACTAATTGCTAAAGATCCACATGTATTGAGTAAAAATCGGTTGTAAATTTGAACTCAGCAGACCCTAAAACCGTTGGAATGAAAGATAGAAAAAAGTTCATTATTGTCATTTTTGTCACTCAGTGTTATTTTTGTATTCCATATCTATATTTGGGCTCCAAATATTCTTCAAAAGGTAATTATATCTCTCAAATGAAATAGTATATCTAGATTTAATTGGTATAAATACTATTAACTATAATTGTCATTGTCAAAGCTTGATTTTATGAATTGAATGGAATTGGCATTACTTTATCATTATTAATATTATCAATTTTTTTTATTAATATTATTTTTTAATTTCAGTGTAGGAGTTCAATGTCAAGAACTTAAGAAGTAGTATGAGTGAAGTCAATAAAATCATACGTCATTCTACTTACAAAAGTACCGCTTTTCCACATTTTGTGATTCTATGATACCGTAGGTGTAAATTATTGATTGTGTGGCTGAATTCTTTTAATCTTGTCAAGCAACAGAAATTAGGCTTATTTGCATATTAATTCTAACAAACATAACAGGTTCGCTTACAAAATATGAAAGACCATTTATGAGATAAAAGCTTTGAAAATAAAAAACCAAAAACAAAATTGTCTAAAAGAAAAAACAAAAATAAATTTTAATAGAAAAGCTAAGATTTCTATGCACAGAAACACCTTTACGATTTGGGTCAAAAAAAGGGCCGGCCGCATCTACATATCGTACTATGGAAGCTAACATAATACGGCCGCATCTATGGAGAGCGTAAACAAGTGTATAGTACGCAAATATGGCTGCAGTGAAGTGAAAACGATTGTCTGGCTTTTCTAGTCTTTTGTGCTGTTTTGTTTCCAGTCATCGCATAAATGGAACCGGTCATCTTGAGCCGCTTACGCTTAGGCATAGAAAGCTAATATGTATTTTATTAAAATTCGATCTTTTAATGCTATACCTATTAACTATTTTAATAAATTTTGTCTTTTATCATATAAAGATAAAAATTACACATAAAATTTTTTTATTGTCCATCTTTGAAGACAAATTTTAATAAATAGTGAATTGTCTGTCTGTTCGATAGAGCTGTGGTAGCTATAAATTTCTATTTTTCTCATGTTTTTATAGTTTTTTACTAAAAACTTAAATAAATAAATAAATAAAAATTAAACTTGTTCAAATAATTTTCCATAACAAAAATGTTTTTCACAGAATTGTTGAAAGTATGTTGTTTGCTGTTTTAATAAAACTGGAGTGCAAGTATGACTGCGTAAAAACTGGTAAATCTGCTAGGAATGCTATTCATTCTTCAATGCATCTGTGCATAGTTTCGTACTTACCTATACGTTGATTGGCTTGGAATGGTTGAATTGCTTGAGAATGCAATGTCGCTTATAAGGACGTTTTTAATGAAAACGTACGTGGAAACTGTTAAATATGCGCATGTCTAAGATTCAACTTTTTTGTTTTTATTTTTATAGGTACTTTTTAAGCAATAACAAGTCAACTTGTAAATCTTTATTAATGTACGAGTAAGTTATGTTTGATGCTTACTGTAACAATTCACATATGTCTATAAAAATTTAGAGCCTTACTTGTCAAATGAATGCGGTAAAGTGAGATTTTTTACAGTTGCCATAAACTTCAAGTAAAATAACAATTTGCTAAATTATTATTTTTTTTTTTTTTTCAAATTAGATAGGTAGAAAAAATATTTATAGAGCCTTTAATGCCTTGAGTAATAAAAGTACTGTTTCTCGCTTTCACTAATTATTTCACTAGTAATTCTAACAGTTTTCTAAGAATTAAAAGAAAATTATTTAATGTTAGTTTTTCCTTGCCGAGAGTGACGCTTCTTTATGACGAAAAGAAACTATTTATTTATTATTTATTAAATTATTTATTAAATTATTTGAATTTCATTATTCCAAAATTAATTTGTTTTTTACACTGATATGTTAGAGCCAAATTTAACAATATTTAAAATAAAATTTTCATACAAATTCCAATAAAAAATTTTAATTGCGCATATGTTTCTAAATTTCATATGCGCGGTGCCTTACTAGACTGATAGGGTTAAAAGGGTCTTCCTGAAAGACTAATTTACCGCCATGCAGGCAGCGGTCATTGGCTAATTTGCCTTACCTTCTGCTCAAGAAGGTTTTCCGGATTTTGTTTTTGTTAACTACTCCTTAAGTAATAGACCTTTTTAAAAAAATTTTTTTTTGTTATGTTGGTATACCCTTTCTTGACATATGGTACGAATTTGAGCGCCATCTGTCAATTAGTTTGTTTACAGCAGCTGTTAATGTGAGACTATCTCAAGTGCATTTAGCGATTTTTACTATGGAAAATTCTTGTTGTACGCAATTTATGGACCAAACACGGCAACACTATCATCGCTCAGCCACCATATTCGCCAGATCTGGAACCGTGCGACTTTTTCCTGTTCCCGAAACTCCAATTGCCCTTTCGTGGTAAGCGTTTTGAGTCGATTGAATCGGTAAAAGAGAATTTGCTGAAGGAACTTAAAGCCATGCCTTCACGGGCCATACCTTAAAAGCCATACCTTCAAGTGTATGGAAGATTGGGTTAAGCGTTCGTCATATGTTATGTGTATCGCTTCAGAAGGAGCATATTTTGAAGGAGATAAAATAAATTTGGAATAAAATTTAAATTTGTGTGTTTTATTTACAAAATCCGAGTACTTTTTGAGCGGAAGGTATAATACATTATATATTAGCTCCGACGTCTTATTTTGGGCGACTTAAAGATCTTGACAAATTTGATATACCATTTACATTCAATAATGTGAAGACTACAATTCAAATACCATATATGCTTGTTCTATTCTAAACATTTGCAGTTGTGAATTATTTTTTTCTTTTTCACCTCAGGTGTTGTAAAAATAATTATTTTTTTAATAAACATACACTGTTTCTTTTTTTTGTTTTTTTCTGCGCTAAATAAAAAAAACAAAAAAATTCTAATTATTTGTTTTGCTCGCCGGTCATCATGTATTCTTTTTTCCACTTACTTCATTGATCATAACAAACGCACCCGCCTTACTCCCACTAGGCGCAGAGAGCGCAAAAAATTTTAACGAAAACGCAATAAAACTGAACGAAAATTTCAAAAATTTCTTTCCCAAAGGTTGGCACCATTGAAAACCGTTCAGTTGAAATTCTTCTTTCGATTTTGCTCATTCGTTTGCAATATTCCTTGAAAGCTTATCCCAGACGCTCGTACTACTGAAGAAGTGTTCGTGCGACGGTGGTGTACGCAAAACGGGATTATTCAACACAAAAATGAAGTCCACAATAATTTCGGTGAAAAATTCATAGCAAAAAATAAAAAAAATATTTGTTGAAAATTTTTTTCTAACAATATTTTTTTAATTCAAATAAATTAATTCGAATTTTGCGTGAGTTTGTGGTGAAGGAATTACGTTGGCAGCGTTCCTATTTCCGGAATAAGAATTCATTTTTCATTGTGTAAAAGCCAATATCAATCGATAGAAACCGTTAATATATATTTAAATTATTCGGTTTTTAAGTGAATAATAGTTTTTTTTTATAAGAATGGGTAATCAACCTGGAAAATTACAGCATCAAAATCAAAGTGGGAGACCTAAAAAAAATGTGCGTTGGAAAACTGCAGGTAAATGGCATAATTTTCATTGTAATCGCGTAAGTAATTTTAAATGCATTTGGTTATATATATACATACGTTTGCGTACATATAATTATATATAAAGCGTATTTATATATAAAGAATTTTGTACAATTTTTCACAATAATTATAACATAAAGTCACACATAACCAGACTGTAGAAGCGCTGAAAATGGGTTTATTTTTAGAATTTTTTTTTACTCAAGTGGTTGGTGCCGTCTTTAGGTTTTCTCTCGGAGATAATACGAAGAGCAAATTTCTAAACATTGGTATATGACAAGGCCTAAATACAAATTCAGAGAAAATTTTTAGCAAGAAATTTTTTTCGTCGTATATTTTATTTATTTACGTATGTATTTTTTCTGAATTTTGACATATTTTTTTTAAAATGAAAATGTTCAAAATGTTTTCTAATTTTACCAAAAAAAAAAACCAAAAAAATGGAATAAAAAGAAATCGAAAAGTAATTCTAAATGCAATAAACAAAAGGTTTCGTTAAGTAGGAGAAAATAGGCATTGGTTTTTGTATATATAATGAGCTATTAGGATAATTTAGTGAAGAGTTTCTCTGCGTCTCTTTTGTGTTCTAATTAATTTCATTCATTTTTTTGAATCTATATTATATATTAATTCAAAACAATTTTTATATGTATAAAATACATGTAATTGCAAATTATAGCAAACTAATACAAAGAAACATACTTAATTTAAATACAACATAAATTTAAATTTTATTCCAAATTTATTTTATCTCCTTCAAAATATGCTTCTTCTGAAGCGATACACATATGCCAACGCTTAACCCAATCTTCCATACACTTTTTGTAGGCCCGTGAAGGTATGGCTTTTAGTTCCTTCAGTGAATTCTCTTTTACCGATTCAATCGACTCAAAACGCTTACCACGAAAGGGCAATTTGAGTTTCGGGAGCAGGAAAAAGTCGCACGGATCCAGATCTGGCGAATATGGTGGCTGAGCGATGACAGTGGTACCGTGTTTGGTCAAAAAATTGCGTACAACAAAAATTTTCCATAGTAAAAGTCGCTATATGCACTTGAAGTAGTCTCACATTAACAGCTGCTGTAAACAAACTAATTAACAGATGGCGCTCGAATTTGTACCATATGTCAAGAGAGGGTGTACCAACATAACAAAAAATTTTTTTAAAAAGGTCTATTACTTAAGGAGTAGTTAACAAACAACAAAATCCTTTTTGAGCAGAAGGTATGCTTAAGTATCTTAATTGTTTGCTACTGTGTTATATTCAAAACATCCATGCAAAAGAAGATCTACATATTTCTTGAATATTAAAATCAAGGATCTCGATCCTAGAGTTACAAATTTAAACATTTATTTCACAGATAATAATTATAATAAATTCAATAACTAAATAAAGATATTCATTCGAGTTAGTGATCGCAAAGAAATTATAATTAAGTTGCTATGAGCGTTTGTTTATACAAAAAATATGTGCAAATGAGATATTTGGATTTTCGATAATAATTTGAGGGTGAGTAAATTGCTATATACAAATATAGAAATTTGTCACTTGTTTAATAGTCACTGTATACTATATATACATACTTCCAAAATATTACTTCTAATATATTTAAAATTATTATTATAAAATTATAAATATTTAAATTTAAATATTTAAATTTATACTATTTGAACACTATGTTTTATCTTATTATTTAAT